AAGAATTGTTTAAAAACAAGTTACTAGAGGAATTAAAAATTACGGTGATTATAATAACAGGGAGCAAAGTCAGTCAAATCCAAAATCCGTTGCGTTTTTGCCATGTATTTATTGACTCCAGACATAGACGTTGATTCAAGGTTTAAATTATACACTTTACACACTTTTTTGGAATTTAATCTCACAGAAAAGGAAAAACTAGCCGGGAAGAGTTTATAAAATGCTCTATTTTTGTCTTTTTTAAAAAAAACTTTTGGGATCAAGTTAACAACCTCCCCAGATAGACCAAGTTAAGATCTTCCACCCCAGCATTTAATTCGCATGAAATTTGCTAAGTGCTGCATAAAAAATGCTCGATTCTGATTGGCTGAAAATTTCTAACTTAGAACCAAGTTATCATCCCCCCAACGGCTTTGGGGAGGAGGATCTTAACTTGATCCAACTTTTGTTTCGACAGACATCCTTGCGAATAATTTAAATGAATTTAATAGAGTTTAAAATAAGTATTGGGACATTTTTTTTCCAACAATTTAGTGAAAATTGTGAACATTTTTTTCCCGCTGAGAGACATTTGACAGCGAATATGCAGATCCATTGGCGATCTACCATGCAGACTTAACTTACTCAAGTTTCTTTCTTTTTGAACGTATCGAAAGTCGGAACAATAATTATTGTTCCGACTTTCGATACGAAAGTGACTGAATATTTGTGCTCGGGGTGGGTTTTTTTTCTTCAGACAAATTTCGACTTTTTAACTAGCTATTTTTGACGAAACTTTTTTATATCATTCGAAAAGTATTGTTGTCTTGAGCTCAAATTTGAAAAGATATTTTACCTGTGATCATTTTCCGTAAAAAAGTTATGGGGGTTTAAAGATTGCCATTTTGGCTAATTTGGGACAATTAACGCGCGATATATTTCGCGCTATTAACGCGTAAGCGGAGAGTTAATCCGTCTTAGAAATCGTTCCAAATTGGTTTAAGGAAGCTTTTTTACCATAATTGATTTGTTACAAGTAGCGAAATTTATCCTTTTATACTTTATATGGCGTGTGGGGGGATGATTTTTATTTAAAAAATTCAAATTTTTGAAAAAAAAATTTCATTTTGGTTTTTTACTTTCAATTTTTCAATGATATTACTGCTCCATAAACTTTAATGGGCAGTCGGAACATTCAGGGCTTCGCCCTGATACATGCAGTCTTGTTTGGTTTTAATTCGTATTCAGACTAATTTCGAACTTTTACTTCTTTACTGAACGCATTTCACTGAATTTTTATGAGTTTTTACATAGCCATTTTTACTGAATTTTAATGCCATCTGAAAGCTATCAAGTTTTGAGTGCAATTTTCAACAGATGTTTCACCTGTGATCCTTTTTGTTTTCGCATATTTGTTGAATTATTCAGTTTGTTTATTTAATGGTTTTACCAGTGCGAATGAATCAGTTTTTATGAAGTAGCTATTAAACATATGAAGTAGTTCGTTTCGGTTTTCAATGGAGCCAGTTAAATCTGATTCTGATAACTGGGTTTTCATATTTTTTAAAACATTAATCATGTGTCAAATTTTTTTTGGTAAATAAAGCTAGCTGCTTATCATCAGCGCAAAAACCAGACGCATAAAAAATTTGACAAGAAAACATTTAGATAGTAATCTTTAAATCGGATCAAATTATATTTCTTTTCAACTCGCGGTGCTACAATGTTTGCTGTTTGGACAAAAATTTAGGCTGTAAAAAAAACTTGATTGTTTATGAAATCAGGAGTGCGTTAGATACCAAACTCATTGATGATAGTAGTTTTTTTGATAAGAAAAAGAAAATTGATCACATTGTGATTGGAATTCTTCAAAACTTTTTTTTGCTTCAAGCACTGTTAAGTGAAACTGAAAAATAATAATTATAAAGTTTATATTTGGGAAAAAATTGAGGCAGTTTTTCATCTGTGTGAGCTAGGATCAACAAAAAGTTCATCCACTTCATAACGTCGTGGTTTTTAGCATGATCTTGTGCCAATTTTTGACTCAAACGATCCATGATAAAACTATCCTACGTTTACCTATTTTGCCACGAAACGTATTTCACGACTCTAGGCTCCCTTTTATACTAAAAAACTCAGAGCGGATTGGGATTTTTTTGCATTGGAAGATAAATGAGATAAATCTCAAATGAGACAAATCTAAAAAGAAATCAAAAGTAAACCCGCAAAAAATCCAATTTGAGCGTGAACAAATTTAAGACTTTTCCTGAATAAAAAACACGGAATAAATCATTTATCCAAAAATATATAAGAGTCTGAACTATTTTCATCGACTCTTAAAGTGACCTCATTTTGATCAAACCGTCTGCACTGAAAACGAATTTGAAAAAAAAAACATGCCAAAAACTACTTTTCAGGCCTTTTTTGGAAGCTTTCGACCAAAAACTGCATTTTTTTTCGCGCCCGCCCCATCATCAAAGTTATTATTTTTTGGCGCTCAAGTCGCCAATGTATTAAATTAAAACCAAAGGGGGACTTCAGTTGGTCAGTGGGTTCGAATCCTCTAAATCAGGTGCTGGTCGCAAAGTTCTGGCGATTATGTTGCAAAAGTCTGAACAAAAAGTAACAGCAATGCTGTATGTTTAGTGTGTAAATCTATACATAATTTCAAATAAAGAGTTACAGAAACAATATAAAAACAATGATGTTCATAATCTATAAAAAATTGATTTATAAAGAGCAACAATAGATTTGCTCTGAGTTTCCTGAAAAGAAAAAACATTTTATGAAACGATTTCACATTATACGTTACAGCTTGTTTTATTAAAATTCATCTTGTTTGGATGGCCAAAAACAACAAATTCACTTTGCAAGAAATGAATTGCATTATTTAAACAAACAAATTTAAATCCTGTCAAAAAATGGTCGCACAGGTTGCGATGGTTTTTTACTGTAGCGAAGGTCTGGAAATGCCAGTCATTTTCGTCATTGATTTTGCCGCTAGTCTGCATGATTAATTCTACTATTCTCGATTGTCGCTAGTCTCCATCAGCGTATAGAATGTTTTTTCTTGTAAAATAGGACTGCTCGCATCAGAGAAGAGCAAAGCCTGAATATTCAGACTGCTTTTTTAACTTTAAGAAAAAAAATTTGGCTCAATAACTGATGAAACTCTCAAAAAAAGTTACAAAAATTTTTGCAGGACTATTTTTTAAAAATTTCTTTTTCGTGCTATAATCAAAATTAAAGTGAGATAATTAGCGTCTAGTGACGTACAAGTAAGACCCAATAGTTTGCCTCCATCTTAATTGAAATGTTTTACACAGAGGTGAAGCTGCCCTTCGCACACACAAGCAAAAATATGACCGATAACGCTACTGGGAAAAACTGATTCAGTAAAACTTTGAGTCAACAAAATTTTTTAAGTGACGCACGCCAATTATGACGCATTAGCAGTATCAGTCATTTAGAACAAAAGAAAGTTATCAAATAACATGCCTCAATTTATAGAGCGGTCTGTGGAGCAGTAATAAGATTGAAAAACTAAATGTTATAATTTTTTTCTAATTTGAGATTTTTTGTGAAAGTCATCCCGCCACACGCCATGTTAAGTATAAAGAGATAAATTTCGCTCTTTCTGTTAAATCAATTATGGCAAATAAGCTTCCTTCAACCAATCTGGAACAATATCTATGACGGATTAAATCTCCGCTTACGCGTTAATAGCGCGAACTATATCGCGCGTTAATTGTCCTAAATTGGCTAGTTTAAAAGTCGAAACTTGTCTGAAGAAAAAAACCACCAAATAGAGGCGGAAACCGCAAATTGTAAGCTGAGACATTTATATCCCAAACACTAAAGGGTGCAACCTCTATTTTGTTAACCAATGCTTCAAGATTTGGTCGTGAACTCCGCTGACAAAAATAAATCCTTATTTCAAGTTCCGCATTTGCTAGATAAAAATTCTAGCTCCAGCTTTCAATTTTTTTTACGCAAGAACTGGTTAAATTCAGTTTCAAAAACAAAAAAGCGGAAACGGCCAACAATTTCCTGAATCCACTTACATTTGCGGGTCCCCCTCACAAATTTTGCGCATTTCACATACATTTGAGGATACCGCTTTTATTTTGCGGAATCTGATTACAATTGCGGAATCCAGAACAACTTATTATATCCGCGACAAAACAAAATTTACGTTACAGGTATTAATACGCGGAATCCACGGAAAATTTTAAAAATGGAATACGTTTTTTTGGAACATGTATAAAAAATTGTCTTTTGACTTCATTGACTTTTAGACATCAAAATGGTGCGCTTATTAAGTGCACTGTTCGGCCTCGTAGTGTAATTTTGAGCGCAGGACGAAAAAAATGAAAACTGAACGCAGGATTAACAAAAACGAAAATTGTCTGTCCGAAAAGCCACACCGAGCTCAAGTTTTGGCCATTTTTTTCTTCAAAACCCGGGTCAATTATGTTATTGAACTCAATTTTGGACTGTTTTAAAAGTCTGTTCAGGTTTTGTTTTCGGGATAGTTCGATTTTGGAATATTTTTTTGATCAAAATGGCACACGAAGGCTTAATACTACAAGATTGTTCAGAGCAGATCCATGAATGTTACAACTGCGAAAGTATTAAACTGCATTAGTTTTCGGTTACGTTTTCGGTTACAATAAGTTTAGGATTGTCAAATTTAAATAGAATTTGTATTCATTTTTATTTTTAGAAACATCTCACTGTCATCGAAAATTGATACAAACATTAAATATTAGGCAATTTTTTTAGCCTGAAATAACCCAACTACACCTCAGTAATTTTCTGCAATTTTTCCAGCAACGATTGGAGCTGGACTATAAGTGCTTCAGCATGATATATCACTCGATCTAATACCATTTAGTAGTGCCCACGCAGTTTTGTAGTGCCTAAATTTTTCGGAAAAACAAAAAAACACATTTTAGTTCAACGGTCTTCCCCATAACACGGAGACATTATTTGCTTTTAGAACAATAAGTTGTACTTACCAACAAATAAGTTGGTCACACTGGATCTCAAGTTCTGAGAGGAACAGATGGCCACAACAACCAACATGTTGCCAACCAGAGTCATCAGAATCAACAAGCAAACACTCACAATCTTCAGCCACAACAGACTCAGCTCATCATTAAGGTCAACTGAGGTCAAGTTATTGATTACGTCATTGCCGTGACCTTGACATTCAGGGAACGCCAAACTGAGGGGATTGGATGGGCTTGTTGTATTCTTAATACAGTCGTGTGACGTATTGGCCGAGTTATAATGAACGCCAGACATTACAAACTGGTAAACTAATTACAAAGAGACGCAAAATAAATAATAAATGACAAGTAATAAAAAGACAAATGGTTTCTTTTTGGAGCCACAAAAATGTCAAACAATTTTTATTGCAAAAGCCAGAAAGTGTGGTAAGCCAATAATTAGATTGTAACTGCGGCCAAGGCTTTCTGTTTACTCTGTCTGAATATGAAGAATAACTTCAATGTAAGTGACGCTAGGTAAAGTAACGGTCGTTTTAGCATAAGCACTATATATGCTTTTAATTATTGAAATAGAAATAATTTGAACTCTGTTTTTCTGATAAGTAAACTTTGATAAGTGACAATCACGCAAATAAGTGTTCCATACTCAGCCCATAAATTATCTCATTTACGTCATAGTATTTACTCTAGCAAAATGGTGCATTTTTTCAAAATTTTTAATCACCGAATCCACAAAAGCTAATTTCATCAAATACTGAAGAACGTTAAAGCTGGTAAGTTAAATCCACAATTTATTAAATCTTTTGAATTCCTAATGCTGGATCAAAAAACTGTCACCACCACGAAAACTGAATACCAGAAATTACTAAAGGGAAGTATTACAAAGGATTTAAAAAAGAGAAAAGCTTCAAAATATTGGCAAAAAGCAGTGATTGGCCGATTTGAAACGGAAAAAAAGAGGGAAATTTATATCTTAATTGAAGCTAGCAAAAAATAGTGAAGTGATAAAGGAAAATGGATGTCTCCTCTATTAGAAAAAATTGAATTGCAGGATTGAACACTGTTTCAAAGTCAAAGGTATATTACAGTTTACTTTTTAGGAGCTAATGGTATTTAATCCATATATTTAATCATACTTTGATACATAATTCACAAATTATATCCGGACCGCTTATTACCGAGATTCCTGACGTATTGCCCGCCATCATCGTAAGGAAAATTGGATGTCTATTTTTCCGCGGCAGGTATAATACAAAATGCATTAGAACATTTAGTACCAGCAACAGCACCAGATTCTTACACCAACACGTCTTAATTATGTTATTTCACGTCAGCACCTCTTATTGTTGAAACGAACAAGGCAAAATAACGAGTTTAGTTACCAAAAAATTGCTTTCAATTCAGTCTGCCAGTTTTGTCTTTTTAAATGGGTCGAAATTGAATTGTAAACAAATATAGTCAGGCGTGGCGCAAATAGCACAGAAAATTGTAAAAACAGTAACTTCCGATGAAGAACAATTACAATAAACTAATCTTTTTAAATATTATGCCGTGGGAAAGCGAATGAAAGTAAGCTTAGAAACTCTGGCATTGACGTTTTGGAGACAGCTATCTTGGCGGCAAAATGAATAAATAAAACTGCTCGCATCAGGGCGAAGCCCTGAATGTTCCGACTGCCTTTTAAGGTCTATGGAGCAGTAATAACATGAAAAATTTAAATGTAATAAAATAAAGTTAAAAAAAAAATTTGAAAAAATTGAGATTTTTTGCGAAAACATCCCCCCACGCGTCATATTAAGTACAAAGTGATAGATTTTGCTCCTATTAACAAATCAATTATGGCATATAAGCTTCCTTGAACCAGTTTGAAACGATTTATAAGACGGATTAAATCTCCGCTCACGCGCTAATAGCGTGAAATATATTGCGCTTTAATTGTCCCAAATTGGCCAAAATGCCAATCTTCAAACCCCCGTAACTTTACGAAAAATGATCACAGATGAAACATCTTTTCAAATTTGAGCTCAGGACAACAATACCTTTCGAATGATTTAAAACAATTCCTTCAAAAATGGCTAGTTAAAAAGTCGAAAATTGTCTGAAGAAAAAAAACCCACCCCGAGCACAAATATTCCGTTACTTTCGTTACGAAAGTCAGAACAAAAAGCAAGTTTCAAAAACATTTCGCGAAGCGTTGGCTGGAGCTTCAATAACTAGTTTTTCTTTCTATAAATTTCAGTTACCATAAGGCCAAAAAAATTTCAGAGCCTAGTTAACCGCTCTTTGCTTTTTTGGTTTGCCCAATGTTTTCTGAACTTTTTACTTTTTTGAAATTTTTCGTTCTAGATAGAATTCCGACTGAATGGGCTATAATATAAATTACACAGATGCAAAGCTACACTTAGTAAACAATTGCGAGAACACGACCAAAAAGCAGCTTTATCAAGTGAAATAAGAAAAAGTGGAAATAAACCTCGAACTAGCAACATCTGGGCTTCCTGTAGGAATGGAATCTGAGACCTTTTGCAATCAAAGGATTTTGAGTCTCACGCAATATCCAATAAGCCACGCAAGCTTAAGAACTGACAAACACTAGTCAAGAATAACGCAGCTACACATGCTAATAAATTGTCAAGTGATTCAGCCAAAGTGGCAGCAAGTGACTCAATTTTGCAAGTGAAACTTTGGATTACAAAAAACTGACACATTAGCTTTGCATGTAACAAATCCCAAAGCACAAAGCCATTTTATGTAAAAATTATGCATTTCAAAAAAATGCGAAATCTATTGAACTAGAAAACTTCTGAAATCGAGTTTTTATTACTTATATGTTGTTTGAAATAAATCGCTTCTTTCGGTTCATTTGATGATTTAAAATGCAACAACTGTGTTAATTTTTTACCATTCGAATTTCAAATCACATGAAAAGAAAAAGCTGTAAAAGTGCCCCGAACGTGGCACCAATATTTGAGACTTAGCTTGGAAAAATAGAAGGCTAATACTTATACACTCGCTTCGCAATTGTAATCAACCGAAGATTATTGTAGTACTTGATTTTGCGGGGAAAACGCTATCATGCTGAGTAAAATGTTTATCATGCATCATATGCGGCTTCAACTTAAGTATCGATCTACCCGATAAAAATATGCGCTCGCCAATCTACCTTTTACCGAATTAGTCCATGATTGAAATAACCTTAAAATTTCAGATTGAAATAATCTTAAAAATTAGAGCCTGATATTCTGAAACTTATAACAACTAAGAGGTCTTAATCCTCAATTTTTTATACCCGTAGTAAAAGCAGCTGAAAACTTCTCAGAAGTTCCCAATATTTTCAAGTTAAAGTGAAAACCATTTGAATTTTTCCAAATCACGTTTTTGACACTAAAATATTTCATATTTTCAGGTATATCCAATATCCATTAACCAATAATGACCGCCAGGCCGAAATAAAGACCATCTGCATGTAGTCGTTAGGAAGATAAGAATACTGCATAATCTTACAACTCCTATAATCTTACTGAAACAACTTATTGGAAACTGTGTGGTGGCGAGTCTATGTCGTTACACGTCACTTCAGAATGATTGACACAGGCTGAAAGCAATCTTAACTCTGTACTCGAAGGATGGCTTAAATACTAATTGGTCTATGGTTTTTTGTAAAATGCAAATTTTTCATCGAAAGAGTTTCGGTCAGAATATGTGTGACAGGTAATAGGTGAAAAAATCATTAATCAATGTGAAAATGATTGTTAGCATAAATTTACTCCCGTAATGAAAATCTTGGACCCAAGAAAAACTTATTTGCGATGCAAATGTTCAATGCTACATTTTTTAAAATTTGAACACTACATTTCAATACTACATTTCTACTCGTCCATTTGAAAATGTATTTCCTGATGCAACCGCTGGTGTTACATTTTTAAAAGTCGCAGATGGAATTTTTAATCTTTGGATGGGTCACTGATATCTTCAAGGTGATTAAGAAAAATGGTATTATAAGAACCGGTGTCCCACTTTTTAACCTCACGATATTTAACCCCCTATGTTTACACTTTTTAATATGTTTACACTCTTTGATATTCTTCAAAAATTGTTATTAGGATCAATGCACAAAAAAGATTCAGAATTAGACAAAAAAAATTCCTCATTTCTTTGAAAGGCGGAGCAATAAAGAAAGAAAATTTACGGCGGCAAATACGATAAAAGGGCTGAGACAATGAGTAAACTGAAATTTTCTGGTCAAATGAGTTGTAACAACAGCCACTATAATTACAACTGAGTGTTTAGGATGGGGGTTGAGAAATTAGACGATAAGCAAATTAGACGGAGGTACTTAAAAGGAAATTAGACGCATGAAAGGCTCAGGTAAAATCTAGTTTGCACATGATTGGTCGGACTTACGACTCCTTAGATTTTCAAATAGTATTCGCCTTTTCTTTTGTTCACTCTAATTTCCGAACATAAGGGGGTTCCTTCAAAGAGATTTGCACTCTTCAGAAGTCGCTTTCAGTTAACAATAATAGAATTAGAAACACTCCACTCGTTGAATTGCAATTCACTTTAAACTCACTCACTCGCTCCACTACGGTTCAATTCAAAGGCATGCCCTCAATAAAGCCCTGATAATCAAAAGTTCAAAAAAGTTATCGTCTTACTTCAAATGAGGAAACACTTAATGAATATACTTCGACTGAATAACCCTTTTTCGAATTCTTATAGGTCACGTTTTGCTCAATGGCAACCCACCCCTCGTGACGACCCGCACTGGAGTTTCATTAATAATACTCAATTATTTTGGATTTTCAATGTGAATCTTTATAAATTTCAATAAAACCCATTTCAATCTGGTGTAATCAATTACATAATGGATTAAAATCAATTTTTCTATTTTTGGAGGGTTTCAGCGATGAGGTGTAAGCGGTGTGGAGAGACATCAATTGAATCAGGGAGAGTAAACAATGATCAGTAAAAACTGAGAAAACAAAAACAACTGTTTAGTTTTGAGTATACTTTAAAAAATTGAGTATACTTTTTGGTCTAAACAATTGTTTTTAGCTTATCGTAAGCTTTTTGTTTTCTCAGTTTTTACTGATCATTGTTTACTCTCCCTGATTCAGTTTACGTCTCTCCGCGCCGCTTACACCTACTTGTTGACCACCCCCCCCCCCCTCTACACCACCCCCTGTTCACGCCCAATTCCATGTTCACACCACAACACCCACTACATCTCAAAACTTCCCCCCGTTTGCAACGCCCCTTCTCCCCTCCCACCCACCTTCTTCCATGCTTACATCATCGGTTTACAACTCCTTGTTTGCATCAATGCCTCTCGTTTACTTACACCCCCCCCCCCACCTTTACAACCCTCTCGCCGCGCTTTAACCCCTCACAACCCTTATGAGGGGATATTAAGGGGGAAGGGTTCGTGGTGGGGAGACGGTTAGGAGGAGGGTAAACAGGGAAAGGGGGTCATGGTGAGTAGTAATCGCGGCGGAGGGAGGGTGATTGAGAACACGTGAATGGAATGGAGAGGGGGTATCCTTAAACCCGTATTTTTTATAGAAATGATTAGGTTTAGATTTCGAGTAGGTCGTGAGTACAGCAAAAACTGTGGAAAGTTTTGCAAATAAATTTGCAAAATATACAGAAATTATAATGCAAAACAAAAACAAAACACCAATGGCCTGTTACTGCGCATTTAGGCGGAAGTTTCGGATCAACGATTTTTGTGAAGCAAACGTTTTTTTTTAAATTTTTTAAAACTGTTTGTTACCGTATACGTAAGAAGCTTCAATAACTCCTTATGTATAGTTTAATTAAATCGCAATAAAAGTATATTTGGGAGTCACTATAAAAATAGGATATGTCACCAATCATTCAATATCACGAATCAAAAAATCTTGGACAAAAAATTCGAATTGGTTCAAGGATT